GCAAGGAGCCGTGTCCAGAGCCATTACCACTTGAAGAAGGTGAAGTCGAGTCAAGAGAACACGCTGCTCGAACGAAGCAAATTGACCAATGGAAGAGAAAAGATGCCACTATTGCAACCATCATGACTTCATCGATACCTGTAAGTATTGTTAATTTAATTACTGCTTGTAAAACGTCAGCCCAAATGTACTCAAATATTTTAGATTATAAAGAACAACGAGCAACTCAGAATGTTTGGCATCACAAAAGAAAATTATCAGAATTGAAATTTACCTCATCACATACTGTTCTTAGTTACTTTAATCAGCTTGAAACAATTACTCAGCAACTGTTCGCTTTAGGAGTGAAAGTAGATGAAAACGAATTGATATTGAAAGTTCTTGATGATTTACCTTCAGAATATGAAGTTTTTAAAGAAAGTGTTGAATGTAAGATTATTGAAGGTGTTCAGATTAAGTTATCTGTAATGAAACAAAATTTGCTTTTGGTTGAAAAACGAATTAATAATAAAACAAAATCTGGTGAAGCTTTAATGGTCAAAGCTAATGCTGTAAACTCGCGACCAAGAATAAAAATTTGTAATGAATGTGGTGGTAAAGGTCACATCGCTAAGTATTGTCGGAAGTCAGAAAATTACAGAAACAATTACGGTCATAAGAATAACTTTAACAATAATAATTATCAAAGAAATGGTTATAATAATAATTACAATAGTAACAGAAACAATTTCCGATATTCAAACAGATTCAACAACAACAACAATAACAATAAAAATTTCAATAATAATCATGGTAATAACAATAATAACAGTACTAATTTAAACAGTAACTTTAACAATAATAACAACAGCAGTAATAATCGGTTTGCAAGCAGCAATAGCTACAATCGGAATAATTACTCGAACAGAGAGAGAAATACCAATCAAAATTACAGAGGTCAAAACAGAAACAATAATTTTGCTAACAACATTCAACCTAATCAACAAAATAATTTTACCTCTAATTCAGAGTCTGATTCAAACAGAAATAATGAAAACGCTCCAATCAACAATACTTCTCAAAATAACTCTGAAAATTTTAATTTTGCTTATTGTCACAACTCCAATGCTTATAATGACTTAGAATGGTTAATGGATACAGGAGCTTCTTTTCACATTACCGGAAATATTAATAACTTTATTAGTTTGTCTGATTTGAATGAACCAATTGAACTTACGATTGGTAATGGAAGTAAGGTTCAAGCAATTGCTAAAGGTGATGTCTTAGTTGATAGCTTCAATGGTGAAAAATGGATTCGCGGTAAATTGACTGATGTTTTATTCGTACCAAATTTTGGTCGATTCAATTTATTTTCTTGGGTTCAAACAATGCAAAAGAATTATAAATTAATTTCTTCGCGATTGAGTTCAGAAATTTACGACCCTGAAACAGAAAGAATAATTACTAAAATTGATACCGTTGGTAACTCAATGTGGATGAGAATGAGAACAGTGAGAAATGAAAATAACTTTATTATGTTGACCAACAACTTCTCGTTAATGGATTGGCATGAAAGACTAGCCCACATCAATGTTCACAAAATAATTGAAATGTCAAGGAATAAAATTTTACCACCAATAAAAGGTGATGTTAATGTTAATGAGTTTACCTGTGAAAGTTGTTTGAAAGGTAAATTTGCGAGAAAGCCTTACCAATCTAAACCTAAAAGAGACTTCAATGTTGGTGAGTCATTCCATTGTGACTTGCAAGGTCCAATGGAAGTCGAATCATTGTCAGGCTCGAGATTCGCCTTAGTTATCAAAGATGAATGTTCGTCTTTTCGAAGTCTATTTTTTCTGAAACAAAAGTCTGATACATTTGTTTCATTAGAAACATATATTAGGTTCGCTGAAAAATGTACGGGTAATCAAGGTAAAATTATGAGAAGCGATAATGGTGGTGAATTTATTGATTCAAGAGTAAAAGATTTACTCAATTCAAAATCAATAAAACACGAACTTTCAGCACCTTACTGCCCACAACAAAACGGCCTTATAGAGAGGGAAAACAGAACAATTACTGAAGCAGCAAGAACAATGTTATTAGGAGCAAATCTTCCTAAATTTTTATGGCCTGAATCAATGCACACAGCTGCTTACATCTTAAATATTGTTCCTAATAAGAAATTAAATAATGTCTCTTCTTTCGAGCTTTGGTATAAAAAGAAACCAACCTACAATCATTTACATGTTTTTGGTTGTGTAGTTTATGGTAAGCTTAATGCTTCATTTTGTAAGAAATGGGATCCAAAATCTAAAAAGTATATATTTGTTGGTTACACCGATACCACAAGTAACTTCAAGGTTTTTGATCCGACACGAAATTTCGTTACAGTAATTAGAGACGCTAAATTTTTAGATAATCAGTGTGATGCTCAAGAAGCTATTGATCAAGTAATGAATGAACAAACTAATGACTTCGAAGAAATTGTCAGATACAATAAAGAAATTGAAACAAATGAAAATGATAAAAATAATGAAACAGTTGAACGCGAGAATGATAATAATGAAATTGATAAAGAAAATGTTGCTCAAATTGCACATGAAATTGTTCACAAAAATGATGAGCCGAATACTTACAATGAAGCCATGAATAGTGTTAACCGAAATCAGTGGTATAAGGCAATGTTAGAAGAGTTGAATTCATTGAAACAAAATAATGTTTTTGAACTTGTTGACTTACCTGAAGATAAAAGTCCAATTGATTGTCGTTGGGTCTTCCGAATTAAAAGAAAAATTGATGGATCTATTGATAGATTCAAAGCGAGATTAGTTGCTCGCGGTTATGCTCAGAGATCAGGAATTGATTATTTTGAGACTTTTAGTCCTGTTGCTCGATACGATTCCATTCGAGCCATCCTCGCCATTACCTGTCAATACAAAATGTTCCTTGTTCAGTTCGATGTTAAGACTGCTTTTCTTTATGGTAAACTCGAAGAAGATATTTACATGAACCATCCACCTGGTTTTGAATCCAATCCTAATAAAATACTTAAATTAAAACGTGGCCTTTATGGTCTCAAACAAGCTCCTCGACAATGGAATGCTAGAATTAATGAATTTTTATTGAAGTTATCATTTAAACAAAGTATTGCTGACAATTGTGTTTACTCAAAATCCGATGGAAACAATTTAATTATCGTAGTAATTTATGTTGATGATGGTCTCATTTCGAGTACCTCTGAATCGGAGTTAATTAATTTCTCAAATGCATTGAAAACCGAGTTTGAAATTAAGATACATTCACCTGAAATATTTGTCGGAATGGAGATTGTGCAGTCTCCTGATCGATCTAAGATTTCAATAAAACAATCATATTACATAAAAGAATTGCTCAAAAGATTCAACATGTTTGACTGTAAACCAGTCTCTACTCCAGGTGACACGAACATTAAATTACTTCCATCTGAAACTGAATCAGATCCCAAACTCCCTTATCAAGAAGCTGTCGGAGCTTTGCTTTATTTGTCTATTATCAGTCGTCCTGATATAACATTTCAAATAAATAAAGCGAGCCAATTTAATGTTAAACATAATGAAGAGCATTGGAAAGCAATTAAAAGAGTTTTCAGATATTTAAAAGGTACGGTTAATGTTGGTATTAGTTATTGTTATTCACATGATAATTTTGATTTGATCGGTTATGCCGATGCTGATTATGCTGCTGATGTCGTTACCAGAAAATCGACATCAGGTTTTGTTGTAACCTTAGGTAAATCACCGATTTCTTGGTGTTCAAGACTACAAAGAAGTGTAGCTCAATCAACAACCGAAGCTGAATATGTTTCAATTGCTGAGTGTATGAAAGATGTACTTTGGTACATTCAATTGTTCAAAGATCTTTCGATCAACATTGAATTGCCAATTAAAATTATGAATGACAATCAGGGAGCAATATTGTTGACCCGAAATAATGTATTTCATCAAAGAACAAAACATATTGACATTCGTTTTCATGCTATTCGCGATTATCAAGAACAAGGTTTTATTAAGATTTATTTCATTTCAACAAAAGATCAACCTGCAGACATGTTAACCAAATCCCTTTGTTCTCCATCCTTTAATCACTGCAAACAATTACTAAACATTTCATGATTTTCTTTCTTTACTTTTATTTGATTTGATGCACAAAACCATAACCAAACAAACATTCTGAGTACTTGATGCTCATCACTTAACTTTAATATTAACATTATTTTTGATTTGAATTAACCGAAAAGCAGTAATTACAATTGACAATACATTTACCGATCAATGTATCTCATTTTATTATTTCATTAATTTTTACTCATAACCATTTTTTGTAAGGACATGTGTGAAGCAAGGGAAGGTGTTGGTTGTAATCAGACCTCATGACTACAACAGATTCACTCTTAGAAGCATATTTATCATTAATTTCATTTAAACTTGAATTTTTCAATTTTTTCACTTTTTGGACTCAAACTTAGGCATCATCTATTCATCAACCAAATAATTTTCAACATTGATTTATATATCATTAGCTTTGTCTCTTCGAGATCTATTTAATGATATATAATTGATTACTGTAACTTAAACCAATCTCTCAAAACATTAACTTGCCCGACGTCAAAAGTCTATGTATTCACATAGGGAATATAATGGTGAAAGTCATCCTGGCCACCCCACTATTTTTACAGAATTAAACAACCGACAAAGACAATTAACATATCATTAGAAAGAGCATCTAAAATACTTTTAATTAATATATTTTTCATGTCTGTAACTTCATCCAGTGTTGAGCTACAAACCGACATAATTTAACTCTCATGTCTATTCAATAATATTGAATATTTCAAAGGTCATCTTATTTCAAAGACAATTAATGTTTTTATCATTAACTCAGTACATCATTCGAAAGCCCTTTTCAGGTCCTTTCAAATGATATAAGTTTCATTAAATTAAACTTAATGATTCCTCTAAATTTAACCAAAACATGATATTTCCTTAATTCTCATATTAATTAATGATTTTCTTGAGTCATTCAAATCCGACTCATATTACTAATTGTCACTAACTAAGATCATCTTCAGAATACAACTATTAACTCAACCCTTCGCAGTGTGCTTCACAAATGTCCAACTTAGCTTTAAAAAGCTCAAACATAATTACTTCTTTTTCCCCTCAATACTTTCTCCTTAACTTATCCTTTCACTAAACCAGTTTTTACTCCAATAACCTAAAGGTTATCTTACAAATGTCTTTGTAATGAAAATGTCAGTTAAAAAAGTAAATTTGAATCTTCTCTTAAAAATAAGAGTTAACCTTAACCCAACAACAGTTGTGATGTAGACCCAGAGAAGTAAACTTGTAAACCTTTCTTACTGTTCAATAAATTTTTGCCTCAAACCAACAAGATTTACATTTGAATCACCATTCTTTGGATCTTTCTCTTTGTAAATTGTGCTTCATTTTGATTCATTGAATGGATAGAATTACAAACTGGACTTTTTCAACTTATCTAACACCAAATGAAACCAACAATTCAAATTTCCACCTTGATTTGAGAGAAAACATTGCATCGTTTGATCGCATCTTTGAAATAAAGACAGAGTTAGCTCTGTTAATCGCTTATTTAACATTATTAATTTTCGGTTTCGTCTCTAATGCCATCATTATCCTATTGTTTTGTGCAACCAACTTTAATCAAAGGGAATCCAGAAGTTTATTGTTTACCAATTTAGCGCTTTCGGATGCCATTTACTGTCTCTTCTTTTGTCCTTTCACTTTGCATAATATTTTAAGAAAAAGTTGGCCTTTTCCGGAACTTTTGTGTAAAATTGTGCCCACCTTTCAGAGTATCTTGGTTTTTGTATCAAGTGGAACCATAACTTCAATAAGTATTCAGCGAGCCTTTATCATCACTGGTTTCCAGTCCAATCCTCCAGCATCAACTCATTGTTGCTCTACTCATCACCAGTCACAATTTCAATCATATAAACATTATTCCTTTTCACCTTCAGCCTCGTCGCCTTCGTCAACGCCCTCGTCGTGCTATAAAAGTAAAATTTCATCGCCTCTCAATGCATCTTCATTGTTTTCAACTTCACCGTCTACTTCTTCATCCTCATCTTCGTCATCTTTAACGGCTTCACCATTAGTCAACTGGATTCGTTCAGATATTATTTTGTTGACCTTAATCTGGATTACAGCCATCACTTTATCCTCGCCAATCTTTATTTATCAAACAGTCCACCATATCAATCTGATTGATACTCACACAATACCCATTTGTGGTGAACTCTGGCCTCCTCATGGTCGTTCTTTTTATACACTGGCTCTTATCTTGATCCAATGGGCTTGTCCCTTGTTAACCATGATCCTTTGCCATTACAAGGTTGACTCCTTTCTCCGTCATCATATGGAGACTCGGGTCCGTCTCATGTGTTTCAATGATATGGATTCAAAACAAAAGGGTAACCTTTTTTACTCCAAACTGGTTTCAACTATTTTGACCAAACGCGATATCAGGGATAAATTGAAACGAAATACAAAGGTGACTCGAGCCTTGTTCAAAAATACAGTCATCTTTGGTTTAATCTGGTTACCACTTAATCTGACAAATTTATATTTTGATTTCCTTCCCGATGACAATAGTTACCAATTGTCAACCACAACAATCTATTTAATACAAGCAATTAGTCAAACGATTGCTGTTCTCTCACCAATAAGCAATGCTTACCTTTACTTTTGGTCCAATACCAATATAAGGAAGCAAGTTAAAAAATATTATTTATTTAATCGTTTTACAGGAATCAAGACCAAACCATTGATCAAATAATCCATGGTATAAACCAGAAGCCAAACACAGAAACAATTTCAACGAGCTAAAGCATAGTTAAAAAAAAATAATCTGACAAAGAAAGTGAAACAATGTGAAAAAAGCGGTTAAAAAGACGAATTAAAATTTTAATTAAAAAAATGGGGTAGAGAGGGCAACACTTTTAACAGCCTTTATTTTAAACAATTAAAGGGTGTCTGTCTAACTCTGATCAGACGTCTAAATTCATACTAAATTTAATTGGTTTGAGATAACCAGTGAAAAGATAAGGTTAGCCACATTCAACACCACCTTTTGGTCAAAATAATTAGACAATATTTTAATATAACGACAATAAAACAATTTAATA